ACTAATTTTGATCGGACATTTGGTTACAGAGTACCACATGTTGCTACTGCTGAGACAGGCCTTACCCTTTTTGCTCCTGGGTTACTGGTCTGTCTCACCTTGTACGCAGCCTTCTTTCCCACTCACAGGGCCTCTTCAAGACTTCCCCACAGTTATCTCCTTACTGTCTAAGGCCATTATAGGCTCACTAAATAGCCAGGTTTTTTTCTGGTTGGACGATTTATTGCCTGTAATTAACATTTGTTTGTTTCAAGTCTTAGGTCTTACCTGAGCTTTAGAAGATATCACTCTTAGCTTCACTGTATTCAGTAATACCTCTTTTATAGCATTTGTATACATTATAATTTTCTATTTTTGAATTTGTTTGCTCCATGGTTTCTAAGCACCTTTTGAGAATAGGCACTATTTTGTTTTTTCATTTATGTGTCTCCTGTTCATAGCAATTTCTGATACATATTAGGCCTCAATTATTGGTTCATATTAATGAATCACTACAGTCTCTCCATTATAGAAGACTTTTCAGACTTGATTATAGTTTGGTCAGCTTTTGAGTTATTGTATACATCAGGAATAAACATTACATTTCCCTTATTCTTCTACTGGGTGGACTGGTCTTTCTTTACATAAAATGAGATTTTGTGAATGTGTGTAAATATTTACACACACACATCCCTGAGTTTCTTTAAAAAGTTTCAGATAAATATAGTAGAAAGTGGAACTAGAACTGATGAGGACATTAGATATTACCAAATTAGAGCTTTTCATTAAATATTAAAATAAGGTCCAGACGGCACATGGTAACCCTTAGTTGGATAGACACTGAATGAACTTAGTACAAATATAACAATTATTTATTTTAGATATACATTTTGTCTTGGCCTATGAATACCCCAGCTCTTGATATGGAAATGGAATAGCTCTAAGTGTCCCCTAATTTCTCCAAGTATTAATTTTGTTGCCTGCTCATCCGCTAATCAACAGAAGATGTAGCTTTACATACCTGTCAAGGAGCTCGACCTTGATTTGAGTCCCATCCAGCAGCTTCAATGTAGAGCTGAAGCAGATATGAGCTGATGAGAGAACCATGTGGAAAGCTACATACCTCACTGTACTAGCTTAGTTCTCCAAAGAAACGTGATCCCTAAATTATGACTTCATATTTGCTTATTGGCTTTGTTCTGAGAAGCAAGTTTACACATTCCCTGTGAAATCACAGTTGAAGATGAAGGGGGTCAACTGAAATTCAGTTAAACACAGTGATATGTGTCCAGGACTGTGTCCAGGGCAACACAACTCAATCTGGGAAACTTGGACAACGTGGTCACTTTGGAGATGGTCTCTGCTGAAAAAGAGGTGGGTACTTAATCAAGCATCACTAAATACCTGAAATATCCCTTAAAATTACTTATCTCACATCACTTCAATTCTATGCTCAAATAGCCTTCTGATTATGACATGAAGAGAAGGTGTTGTGGCTTGGAGATGACAGCATTCCAGGTATTGGAATGTTTTCCATTGTAACTCTAACTTGATAAAAGTGATTTTTAAAATATATTCATAATGGAGACATACAATCTTAGTAAATATTGATAAGGCCCAGTTATTGCCAAGAACCACTCAGCTACAAATTCCTAGACCAAGTTCTGAAAGGATGGGGACTATCTTCTTCAATCCTAGAAAATCAGTAGCTGTCATCCAATGCCTGGAATATGTAGGAGCTTGGATATTTGCTGAGTGGAATGAATAAATGATGTACACATAAAGCTAATTCATTTTGAGGCTCCTTGGTAGCCAACCATATTTCTTCCTGTTGTTCCCAAATTCTGTCTCCTTGCATATGCCTTTCTATTTAAATTTTAGTGAAGACATTTGTTTATTGTTAATATTCTTTACATAAGAACTCACAATGTAATTTCCTTCTAAGTTTTGGTGCCAGAAAAATTGTCTCTAGGAAAAATTAAGTGCTTCCTTTTATTAAATGTAAAAACTTCATCATCCATCGTAGTCTTTTTGTCTTTGCTGCCAGGAAATTCGAAGATATATTTACGTATAATTAATGATTATTTTATCTTCTGATAAGATTTCTCTTTTAAATAATACTTGTTTTAATCTTTTGCTATATTTTAATATACTGCTATTTCTAAGTTTATCCATCTTAAATATCTACTGACTTCCCATGGCAAAAGAGAATGTTGCCTGCTTGAGACAGTTTCCCCTTGCTTTCTTTTCTTCCCCAAGCCACCAAATTATTAGTATTTAATGATGCTTTGTTGGTTACCTTTATCTTTATAATTTTTATCTTTATAATCTTAATATGCTCCCTCTTTGCTCCCTCTCCCAGAGACAGTGTCTCAATTTCTTTCTTCATGTCCCCCCTTTACCACTCTCCTGAAGGAAGGATATTAATACCCTCTCCCCTTAGGTCTTCTTCCACCAGCTCTTTCAACCTTCCCATTTTTAACAGCTGTCTTTTTACATTGTCAAGGTTGATATTTACATTCAGTGCTATAATCAATGTCTACTATGTTCTATGGATTAATTCTAAAACAGTATATTACTGTAGCTATCATTCACTGAAGAGCTCAGTAGTATACATTGAAACATTCTTTTCTTGTATTGCCTGTTTTTCCTGGAGCTTCTTTTTTTCCTTTTACTTAAAAAAAAAATACAATATGCATTTTCATTTCCTTTGGTATAGTGGCAAGAGACAGAAGTCAGTTCCAGGGTCCTTATTTTGCCAGTACCTTGTTGCATGGCTGAACAAATTAATTACTTGTATGAGGTTTGCATGAAATAAGAGGGCCTTGACCTTTTAGAAAGTGATCACTATGGATCATCTCTAAATTAGGCACTTTCAGAGGACTTCAAAGAAAATATGTCCTTCATTAGTGAAGTCACAACACTTAAGTCAACTTCATAAAATATAAAGTTAAAGCCATTCCATGACTGATAGGGGAGGAAAAAAAAAAAACTTTGTTAGAGCAAAAGTAAACTTCTAAATAGGCAAGAAGCAAATGTATAGAATCTAAGAAGAAAAACATATTTAAAAAATACAACTAGCCAAATAAAAAGCTAAGAGGTTGGTCTGACACAAATAAAAAAAAACTTCCTAGCAGTAGTAAAATGTATATGTAATATTCAAGACAAATACAGCAGTATTTTCAAAATAAATAAATAAATCTTAAAAATAGGCTAAATATACATTCCCCTTAAGCTAATGCAGTTTATATAGGCTTAATCCATATATTCAGACTTAGAGCTTGTAACTAGCAAATTCACCTATCAACTGTGTGCTTTCCATGTGCAAAGAACTATTCTAGGCACCAAGGATGACAAACCCAGAGGGGTATTCAAGGACTTACTGTCCAGAGGCAGGAGACATGAAAGCAATAAATCACAACACACTGTACAGGGTGCCATGTGAGTAAAGACTTTTAAACCACCTAACTGCCTGGGAGACTTAGGGGAGAGGTACTAGAACAGATAATGTTAAAGCTGAGATTTCAAGAATAAGGATTTTCTTAGACAAAAGGAAGGGAAGGGTATCATAGGAAGAAGGAACAGTTCAACAGAGAGGAGATGTGAGAAATCAGAGCCATTTGGATAATGCTGAGATATTTTGCTCAAATAACCAGTGTAATGATAGCAGAGAAAGCAGGATAGTCAGGGAAGAAATACACCAGAAAGGCTTTATCCACCACATGACAAAAAAGGATTTCATTCTAAAATACCTGAAAACTTTTCACAGGAAAGAAATGAAATAATCTGATTTATATTTTCATTATCAAGGAAAGACTGAAAGAAGTCAGGACTTGGCACAAAATCGACTGAGAAAGTTCAAGAAGTAGTGTGTATTACTCTGTTAGGGCTGCCATAACAAAATACAACAAACTGTGTGGCTTAAACAATAGAAATTTATTTTTTCACAGTTCTAGAAGCTGGAAGTCCAAGATCAAGATGCTGGCAGGGTTTAATTCTCCAGAGGCTTCTCTTTTTGGCTTGCAGATGACCTCCTTCTGTGTCCTCATACGGTCTTTTTCTCTCTTGTATATACATCCCTGATGCCTCTTCCTCTTCTCAGAAGGGCACCAGTCATACTGGATTAGGCCCTACCTAATGGCCTCCTTTTACCAAATTACCTCTTTAAAGGCCCCATCTTCAAATACAGTCATATTCTCAGGTACTTGAAGTTAGGACTTCAACCAGAGAATTTTGAGGGAACACAACTCAATCTAAAACACAGTGACTGGCAATAAGAATGGAGAAGAAAGGACAAACAGAAGGATACTTAAGAAGTAGAAATCAAATACTTGATTGGTTGATGAGTTAGGGATATACAGGAAATAAGAAGCTCTGCTTGATTTCTGGCTTAGGCAATGAGGTATATGCTGGTGCCATTTATAAAAACAAAAACAAAAACAAACAAACAAAAACAAAAATGATAAGAAGGAGAAGGAGGCTTGGTATGCCCAGAAAAATGAGGAGTTCAAGTTGTAACTGAAGTCATAATTTCCAGTTAACAGGTAAGTTAAACTTTGGAGTTTAGGAAAAAATAATACAGATATATTAACAATATGACATATATGATATGATATAATAATATAGATGGAAACCAAGGGTATAGGAGATTGTCCAGAAAAATGCAAAATAAAAACAGAAGGCTATGAAGGTATACCTAGACAAAGAATCAGAACAGAGTAAAGTAATATAAAAATTAAGGCAAGAAGAATTAAGTAGGAGATGGTTGTTGATTCCTAAGACTTTTTCAGAAAGTTAATATTCTATTTCAAAGATGTATTTTTTATGGGTTCTAATTTATGCTTTTTATGAGTTCTGATTGCTATGTGAGTAAACTACAATACCATTTCTAATGATTTCTCACTACCCAAAGTGTGTTCAAAATACCCTATCAATATTATATAATATTCCTTATCCCTTTGAAAAGTATAAATCTTTGGAATGAAAAAATACCTTTAAAGCCAAAATATGATGTCACATACAAGTTGGCTCCATGCCTGGTGAGGAGCCCAATGTGGGGCTTGAACTCATGACCCTAAGATCAAGACCTGAGCTGAGATCAAGAATTGGATGCTTAACTGACTGAGCCACCCAGGGAACCCAATGTCACATATCTTAAACTAATCAGTAAACTGATTTTTTTTCCAAGATCATTTATTCTTGACAGCACTCCCATTCATGTTGGAAGGCAAATTTTGACGTTAGCTACCTACAACAATATATATGCCTTAAATACTATAGAGGTGGTAAGATATCTAAAGGATTAATATCTGAACAATACAATTCATCTTGGAATGCCATGGTCTCACAGCACCAAGTAGCTTGAGATCTGCTCATGAAATATATTTGAATGGCATTAATGATTTAATGTAGAAAATAGAAAACAAGTTGCATAGAGGAGTAACATTTATTTATCAGCTATATTGTATTATATTTAGACAATCAGTTATAGAACTTTAGAATTCCACATTACTCTAGAGACCCAAAGGCACAGATACAAGTGATTTATTACGCTTTTAAAAAGTGACAAAAGGGAATATTAATTCTGGAAGATTTTTAATCAATTCAACAGTATTATACACTAGAGAAAAAAAATTTCCACAAACATTCCCTCACCAAGTCCACAGTTTTATATTTACATAGAATTATTATAGCAATTTTAAATGTTAATCTATGATACAATGTTACTTCAGATAACATAAAAAATATAGTTTTTTTAATAGCCATGCTCCCATTTTTGATGAAAGCTAGTCAGTTCATCCTAATGTTAGTTTAACACTTTAAAAATGCATAATAGACATTCAGTCAGCCTTATAAAACCCCTAAGACAGAAGCTGTCAAACAGAATAGACAGAGGGCTCATCATCACTTATGTCCGAATCATCTTCATCTACTCCTTCAATGACTGATTTCTTCCCTTTACAACAGGAAACAATTAATCCAATCAAGAATACCTGTAAATTTAAATAAGCTACGTGTTATTTCTTAAATTTAAGATCATTCAGGAAATAATGAATTTAAAATCCAATGGCACTACTGTGATACAAATGAGCAATTAAGGATCACATCATCCCCAGGATACCTGTACTACTTACCCCAAGAAAGGCCCAGTTACCAAAATAGTACGCAGCACTAAAGAACCAGAACTTGTGAAGGAACAGGTATGTCCGGGTAACAGTACACTGATCTATAAAGCAAATAAAGGACAACACAGTTTCTTTCTTGAAATGGACTATTAAAAATTTATCTAAAAGATTATTAATCAAAACTAAAGACCAAGATCATACAGTCAGTAAGTGTTAGAGATTGGACTGAAATCTAGGTTTTTCTCCAAAGCCCACTCCTCCAGAATTTAGTATAGTATTAAATTACCAAATAATATGACATTTAAAAAAAGGAATGCCACCAATGTAATCCTGGCTTTTAGGATAAGAAAAATTATATTGGATAGTTCAATATATTTGAAATAGAAGAAGCATTTTAAACTGGAGTTCCAGACATGTCCTAAACCAAAACAGATAAAGATAAGAAAAAAAAAATGAACTAAGTAATCAGATGTGATTATAATTAACTTGTACTTTTCTAAGAATCCAATTCTCAGGACAGCTCAAATTTGAGAGGTGTTTTGAGATTTATTTTTTTTTCTTTTTAAGAATGCTAGCATGAGGGTGCCTGGGTGGCTCAGTTGGTTGGGCGACTCGACTGCCTTCGGCTCAGGTCATGATCCTGGAGTTCCAGGATCGAGTCCCACATTGGGGTCCCTGCTCAGCAGGGAGTCTGCTTCTCCCTCTGACCCTCCCCCCTCTCATGCTCTATCTCATTCCCTCTCTCAAATAAATAAATAAAATCTTTAAAAGAAAAAATTAAAAAAAAAGAATGCTAGCATGAAAAGGTTGCTGCTTCTAAAGAAATACAAAATTGTTATTTATGGATATGCTTACTGTTTGAAATTTAGTTTTTAAGCTTGAATTAAAAATCAATCATATACCAAAAATCAATCATATATTTAAAAAAAAAAATGCAACCTTTAAAGAGATAGTGGAGACTGGTTATTTAATATTTGTGTCAGACTCCATACTAATTTTATCCAAATTCGTTATTTCCATTATGTTCCAAAATCCTCAGACATATATCTGAGACAATCTCAGACATATATCTGAGAAATAATATCTAAGGAAATACTTGTTTATTTAAACCATTCAGAAGGGTCTGGGGCAGCACAATATAATGTATCTGACTGAAAAATCATATATTCTGCAGCTAATAGAGGATTCTAACCTTTCAAATTTCAGAGGGCCTTTACTCATTACAGAAGAAAATCCTTATCTTACAAGGCAACTTCTTTTTAGTCTATTAATTACAAAAAAGATTATGACTTCTGCATATTTTAACCAAAATTGACAATGGCAAGAAATTCCACATGCAATTAGGAGACTAATATCACATCCTACTGCTGATTAAGAAAATATACTACTGATTTCTAATTTTATGAACTCTCTTCTCAGTGTCAATAAATAAGTGCTATTTTCTCTTAAAACATAAAATTGAGCTGGGAATTCTGTAACCCAGTTTATTACACAAGGGTTCTAATATACTTTACTTTGGGGGCTATCACATGGTTTTATGAAAAGTAGTCTTTAGGTTATAGTTTATACAAGACTTGTTATGTAAAGTTTTAAATATGTTATATAAGTATATAGATAATCTAAATCTTATCTACTTTAACCCCTTCCACTATACTTCAACATTTACTTCTGAATTACCCAATACCAACTGGACAAAATCTTTTTTTCTGGCAGAGAAACATGCAGTTTAATAAAGAGGCAATATCTTCCTTTCACAAGCTGGGAACACCAATCTAATGATAACCTATTGATCCCCATCCCCACAAGGGCCTCCTTCAAATTTTTGCTCTCTTCCTCAACAGAAAAGTCTAGAAGGAATATTCAAAACTTCCTAACAAAAACCAAGAAGATTTCAAGCAGTAGTGGCTGAATAAATGTTTCTCTCCTCTCCTATGGTAACTAGCACCCAACATTATAGCTGGGTGCTGTGCTGGGAGTTCAGTCTAGCAGAGGAGATACCTAGACAGGGAAAGTTGTTAGTCATACTCTGCTCCCCTAATATTTTATTCTCACCTCTATTATAGAACTTGTTTCAAAGTAATATAACTACAGGCTTACCTTGGAGATTGCAGGTTAGGTTCCAGATCACCTCAATAAAGTGAATATTGCACTAAAGCGAATCAAATGAACTTTCTGGTCTCCCAGTACATACAAAAGTTATGTTTACACCAGACTGTAGTCTATTAAATGTGCAATAACATTGTCTAAATAAACAATGTATATACCTTAATTAAAAAAATACTTTATTGCTAAAATCTAACCATCACCTGAGCTTTCAGGAACTCATAATCACTGATTGCAGATCACCATAATATAATAATAATGAAAAAGTTGGAAATTTTATGAGAATTACCAAATGTGACACAGAGACATGAATTGAACAAACGCTGTTGTAAAATGGTACCAACAGATGTGTTCACGCAGGGTTGCTGCAAACCTTCAATTTGTAAATAATGTAGTATCTGCAAAGTGCAGTACAGTGAAGCGCAATAAAACGGGGTATGCCTGTATTCAATTTGTCACTTTTTCCATTAGATAAGCCTGAGTATTCCAAAGTACCCGTGTACCTGGCATTCATATTCAATATAACTGCTAAAGCAAGCTAAATGTTTTAAAAGGGGTATTTTATTTAAAAATTATATTGCTAAATAATACACTTTCTTTTTGAGAATTGAGATCTTTTATTTTTCACTATGACAAAGAGAAGAAAAATGATAAAGATGCTTCATAAATATTAGAAACAAGCCAGGAAACAAATGCAAAGAGACAGATAGTAACAATCTAGTTTCCAATAATAATGGTAAAATTGGTGTTAAGTGAAATCTCAGACTATGAGCCTACAGATAACAATATCCTACATGAATTTTTTCAAACCCAAGAACTGATAAATGAATAAAACATTTCTAAGGGCAAAAAGGAAATACTGATATTTCTATCCAATTAGTTATTCAACAGTTAGGACTTCATTGTGCAATAACATGCAACAGGAACTCGGATCATACCATTTTGCTGGAAAGATATGTAACAATATTCTTTCATCATTTACATTTGTGCACCAAAATTTATTTGATATGGTTAACAAATGAACAAAGGCTGAAGGCAAGCATGTATACAAAAGTGTCTGGAAGAAAAAATATCATGTGGAAATGAAAAAATTAAGTGATTTGATCATTGGCATTTACAAATCTAAAAATGGAAATGTTTTGCAATTATGAATCAAAAAAGAATGCCATCCTCTCTTCAAAATTATGAACTGTCAAGTTCTGAAAAGTATTACTTTTTGATGATGTGAGTGCAAGAACCACAAGTAATAATAAGCTTGAAATTACTAAAAAAGTATTTGAAATCTAGAATCTGTATTAAGTATAGATATATTCCTGGTTCATGCCATGGCAGTCAATAAACAGCTACATCCAAAGGGCTGTGTCCATATGGGGTACTTTCAAAACTCAGAAAAGTGAGGATAAAAATTGGGCTTTACCACCATCACCAAGAAAATGAAAACAAAAAACAAAAAACAAAACAAAACAAAAACCAACCTACAGAATGGGAAAAACAAACTGTAAATCATGTACCTGATAAGGGACTTGTATCCAGAGTATATAAAGAACTCTTACAACTAAATAATAAAAGACAACCCAACTAAACAAAAAATGAACCAAGGATTTAAATAGATATTCCTCCAAAGAAGACATCCAAATGGCCAACAGGCACACCAAAAGATGTCCAATATCAGTAGTCATCAGGGAAATGCAAATCAAAACTACAATGAGATGCTACTCCATACTCACTAAAATGGCACAATGAAAAAGACATTATTTAACTAAAATCTGACAAGATTCCAAGGATGTCAAAACAAGACACTTGCATATATCTTGAAAATGAAAGTATAACTAAAATGTCCGGTACGGTAAAGGAAGAGCCCAGACTCTGGTCTCTGAGAAACTTAGTGTCAAGTATTATTTGGCTACTTCTTTGCCATGTGAATAGGAAAATCTGAACTGTTTAGACTCCACGCTTGTAAAATAGAGGTATCACCATATTTCCTTACAGGGTCATTTTAAAGACCAAAAGAGACAAAAATCTCCATACAAAGTGCAGTTAATATTAATTTCTTTTCCACTTCAAGGTATAACTGAACCCATGATAAAGAATACAGTTCTCAAGAGCTGCTCAAGTGGACATTATTTTTCTGTATCTATAGTCAAAGTTTCACCAGCTAGACCCCAACACCTGACCTTTACTGTCCACCTGCTTATATTCACAAATCTCTATTTTATATTCTTCCTTAAACTCTTCTTTCTGGCTTATCTCTTAACTCAGGCAAATGAAACTGGAAACCACCTCTCAGGTGATGGCAACTGCCCTGACAAGACCTCGCACTGGCCCAGACCACCCAAACCATTTGAGCTGAAACCCTAACTTGTGCCTGTGCAGATGGACCAAGGAGTAACCCTTGGAATAACTAGCAATTACCTTTACCTCATTATAATACTAACATCTCTGCCCAAAGAGGAACCACGGGCTCATTTACATAACATCTACTACACATATACACGTTTTCTTAAGGTGCATGTGTGACCTTATGCTTATCTCTACATACAATGACAAGGCTTCCCTATCTATTCATTCATCCTAACCCTAAACAAAAGGTATTCATTCACCCCCTCTTGAGGAGTCACAGCTTTGGAAGCCATTCCTCATGATCTCATTTGCTACAAATAAGTCTTCTTTGTGCAACGACTCAATCTGGTGCAGTTTTTGACTCACCAAGGAGCAAACTTGCATTGGTTCAGTTACAAATACAGATATAAATGAATTTGATGAAATTCGAATGTATATAATTCAGTAATATGCTATCTCCTAAATAGTAATATGCCTTTAAATAAAAATAACCAATTTGAATGTTTCAAAAATGATGAGAGGGACAAGCTGGGATTTATGCAAAAAATGCCTATTCACAATTATTTTAAAAACAAGAACAGTATGTTCCATGGCTTAAGTATTACATGAGCTTCATCTTACAAGTATAAACATATTTGAAAAAAGTCATTCAACCTTC